CATACATTAGCTATTGTGTATGAGTGTGTATCTGAGCATTTTGCAAAAGATCACATTTATGGCCTTCTACCAGAATCAGTAAACAGGAATTCTGATGTCATAACAAATGTTAAGACATCCTGTACTGATCTAACTGATATGCAGTTTGGTCAATTCTGAGATTTTTCAGGAAATTGAGTCATTCTTTCCTGAACAGAATCTTGCGTGGACCTTGGGTTAACCTAGCTCAACCCTAATCTGGTTGATAAAGTCTTGTGACCAAGTCTTAAGGTTAAACCTAATTAACCCTAGCTTTTTGTGGAAACCCTAACTGAAGAAACAGCTGCTATATATTCAACAAGATTGTTGTTTGGAAGATATCTCTTTTGACTGAAGATCAATTAGGAGCTGTATAGTTTTAACTGCTGTAATCCAAGAAATTATCATTGTGATAAGTGACTTGGAATAGGTTTTGATTTTAAGGGTTTTTGTACCACTCAAAGCTTTGAAGCAAGAGTGTTTTGTGTCTCTTGACTAAAGCTTTGAAGCAAAGTCAAGTTAGGTTTATGTATCACTCAAAGCTGTGAAGCAAGAGTGTTTGTGTTACTTGATTAAAAAGCTGTGAAGCATAATCAAGTGTATGTTCTGAAGAGTGTCTTCATTAATTCATTAGTCAATTGTTTTAAGTATCACTGCTGTGATTGAGGGGGAGTGAGTAGGAACTCAGGTTTAAGTAGAACTTAGATTGAAGTTGCATTGGGTAAGTCTTAAGTGAAGGAGATAAACTGGTTGGTTTATTCCTGAATTAATATCTCTTATAGTGGATTTCCTCCCTGGCTTGGTAGCCCCCAGAGTAGGTGTTGTTTCACACTGAACTGGGTAAACAATTGACTGTGTTCTTTACTGTTTTTATTTACTGTCTTATAGAAAGTCAGATACGGTGTCATAACATTCACTGTGACATTGAGTATCTGCTGCCAGAATTTCAAACTCAAACTAATGGAACGGTCTATGATGTTCATTGATGCTTGTTGAGGTTTAATTTTGATTAATTGGTGCATTTGATGCATCTGTTTTTGATTTCAAAATTTTTCAAAACTCTTTGGTTTTTCTCAAATCGAGTGAGCTACACTTAAAGAAAGTTTCTGTGGGCATGTAGTTTGATCGTCTCAAGTAGACGCATATATTGATACCACTATAAACATGTACATTTACAGATTTGTGAATATGTGTTTTTCCCTAGTTGCAGGAGGTTGGAGGTTGAAGACGACCTACATGTCATTCTTTAACCAATGATACACAACCAATCATTTTTATTTGATTGGTTGGAGTTTTTTGTGTTGCCTGCGCGCGTTTCAGTGATGATCATCATACTTCCTAACTTCAACGCCTTTTGATCTGACACAGTTGATAAGTGAGCTGAATCTAATGCACCATATTATTTTGATATTATTTTTATTTTCTGATTTTTGATTTAATTGTTTTAAGCTTCAAAAATTCATAAAAAATTTATTTCAACTTCAAAAATTGTGAAAAAATTATCAAAAATACTTTTGATTTTTCTCTTTCTGATTTTTATTTTTTCACATTTTATTTTGTGATATGGTATTTTTTATGATTTTTCACTTTATTTGACTTGTTTTAATTGTTTAAAATTACTTTTCTTGATTTTAAAATTTTAAAAAAATTATGAAAGGATCCAATAATCTCTTGACAAATATTGGTGACCTAATTTTATTTTTATCTTTTATTTTACTATTTTTCATAATTTTTAGTTTATTTTGCTTATTTCTTTAAATTTTAAAAATAGTTTCTGACTTTAAAAAATTTCTGAAAATTTTTGTTAACATTTGATGACTCATGTTTGACTTCTGATATTTTTTAGGATTTTTATTTTGTGTTTTAATACATGTTATGTATTTTACCAATTATTTCCTTTTCAAATCATTTAAATTTTGTTTTATATTAAATATATTTTATTATTTTTTGATTGGTCCTGATTTGGAGACACTTGGGTGTTATTTTGAGACAAGTTCATCAACGCCATTAGATCTCAAGTGTTGATAGGTTGAGAAGCCAAATCCACTAAAATGGATGAATGATGTTGATGATATTTGAAACCCTAGTTTCATCTGGGTACATTCCATTCCCTTTTCATCTTATCTCTTTCTTGTTTTTACTTATGCTACATGTTTTTGGAGAATAATCTACATATAATTTCTCTAACATGTTGATACATAGATTGCTATTGACCAACCTCAAAATAGGTGTGGCTTCTACATAAGTCCACTTACGATTGCTTAACATAGCGCTAAATTTGTCTCGATTCGAAAAGTGATCATACGTGGCTCAAACCTATGTTTGCAAGCCTAAGTATGTTTAATTTGAAACCTTAGGTCCAATAAATTTTAAGTTCATTGTTAGGAGGCTTTGATTCTATCAATCCTCTAATGAACTTCATGAATTTTGATCTAAGTGAATCATTTGAACATCATTGATCACATGTAGTTGTTTTGAGCACTTGAAATGAATGATATACTTGACAAAAAGCAAATGAGACTTGTTATTGAGAAACTTTGATTTTATCAATCTTCTAATGAGTTTTAAAATGCAAGCTTCAAGATGGTGATTCAACTAACCCTCTAACTTCTAATTCACTAACAATTAACTTTACTTTATGCTTTTATTTTGTGCATTTACTTTTATGTACCATTTATTTTAGCATTTACATCTCATGTTATTTTCCTTTTGTTCACTTGAACGTTTTTCTTTATGTCATTTTATCTTTGCTCATTTGAGCTTTTATTTTCTTTTGAAGACACTTAATAATCAACTTGAACATTAAAAAACTTTAAGGTTACTTGGACTACTTGGTTACTATCTTTAGCATTATGGAGTTGTGGATCTCTCAGGCTTAGGTTTAGAAGCCTCGATACTCGAGGACCTTGTTGCTCTGTTGTTATTTTGTCTGAAGTTCTTGGGGTTTACTCTAAAGAGCATTGGGTTGATTTTCTTTGTGTGCAGGTTATTATGATTTTATGCTTTATCTGTGATTGGGAGTTCCTCTGTATACAACTATTATTCTGTCCAATTTTTGTGAAGACTTAATTCACCTGAAGCTTGGTATTTCTCAGAGGTTTAGTATTTTTGCTTGTTTGGTTTTAATCCAAAGTATGAGAATTCTACATTGACTTCTTCATGTCAAGTGTTGACTTCTTGTTGATTAGACCATTCTTTTCCTTAGCTTTTACCTTATACTTTAAGATAGTCCCTTCATCTCCTCTCATCTTCTTTAATTTCAAAAATCTCCTCCCTCATTTTCAAAACTCTTATTGTTTTCTAACTTGACTCGCTTTCATAATAAACTTGGACTTAGGTCCATGCATTTTCAAAAATCTTTTTCTCAATCAAACTTTAATAAACTTAACCATACTTTGGCATCATTTGAAAGACTAAAAGTCAATTAACCTCATTCAAACTATTTTGCCACTTTGTCTTTTTACTTTAAAACCTTTTTTTCAAAAGATTAGACTCTTGTTGATTCTTGTAGTGATATGAGCTACTATACTTCTACGATATGTAGTAAAGTGAAATATTTTCCACTTGGATGTTGAGTGAGGCTTTGTTGATTTTAAAATCCAAGCTATATCCTCTACTTTGAGATGACGCAAATGCTCCTTTCTCATAATCGTGGATAGTAAGTATGTCTTCCACTTGGATATGACGATGATGTCTCTTCTCTTAAAATTAACCAACAGACTTGTGTTTTAAAATTTTTGAGGTGAACTACGAGTATCCTGATCTCCTATTACACGGAAGGTGGTACGTAGGCACTAAAGGTTCGCAACCGCGGCGGGTGCAAAATTGTAAAAAAATATTTCTTTTCTCATCTCCATTATCTTATTTTGTATACACCTTTTATAGTCAAAATACACAAATTTTCAAAGAGGTTCTTGCGGAGTACCGTAGATGTTTAGGGTGTTAATACCTTCCCTTTGCATAACCAACCTCCGTACCTAGATTCTCTTCCCCTCTTTTTTTGGGTTTATTCGCTCTTTTCTCATTTCTTTTGAAAATAATAAAGCGCGGTGACAATTTTTATTTGATTTGTGTGAGTTAAGTGAATTCAATGGCTTAGTCTCAATATTTCTACCGCTACACGGGGAACATTATTTCATGAGACTTCATGGTCCTGTGTATGAAAGTTTGGTGAAAGATTTCTGGATACATGCTGACTGTGATAACTTGCATGTGATTTCTCATGTACTAGGTCAAAGAATCATCATAACTAAGAAGTCGATAGCACATCTTCTTAAAATGAAGCATATGATAGGAAAAAGAGTATATGGAATAGATATCAAGTCTAGGTTTGTGAAGGAAACTATTAACAGATCTATCTTCAAGAATTACTCTTCTGATAAAATTAAGTACAAGAGTAAGGATCTGCATGATAATTTTAAGATTTAGCACATAATTCTTTTGGATTGTATCAACCCTAAACTATATTCGAGCTCATATAATTATTTCAATATGAGAGATTAAGTCTAATATGATTATGTTCCTGAGATTTTTTCAAACCATACTTGCTATACTAGTTAACGTACTTAATATGTCAAAGCTTTTCGATTAAGACTTTTGGGCATTTAGCACTTTTCATCATGGTATAACTCATTTTTCATTTCAGTTTTATCCTAAAAACTTTTTGATAGATTTCAGAACTATTTAACTTGTCTTTTTTTATTTTCTTATTTTCTTATTTTCTTATGAATATAAAGAAAATTTAGTTTATATTTATTTTGAGCCGGTGTAATAGAAAACCGGACCGGTAGTATATATTGCCCCCAAAAAGAAAACAATTTAATTTCTAACAAACCGTGTCTCTGAGAAAGATAGCGTGAACGTGAAAATTGAATCTAGGGTTTGCTCTGCGCAGAGAATCAACAATGGCTTTGAGGGGATTCTACAACCAAATCAAGGGAAAGAAGGTGACCGAGGTCCCTGGACATGTCAAACCGATGTTTTCATTCGCTTACATCAAGGATTCCGTCAAACGAGGCTTGGACAATTACTCGGAGAAGTATATCGAAACAGACTCGATTCAGCCGCTGCTTCATGTTCTTTATGGTGGCATGATCTTCTCCTACCTCGTCGCTCTTCCCAACGAGCGTCGCCATCTCGCTCACAAGGAGCATGCTGAATCTCATCACTGATTCAGGTATCGTTCCGTTTTTCCATAGCGATACTTAGATCTGTTTGATTGAATTGGTACATGTTTTTTTTTTTATGTTTCATTTTTATCTGATCTGATCATTTTGAAGGCTTGAAATTGATTTTGATGTGTTTGGGGTATGTATGTATCTTTGCTGTTGCGCGTAAAATTGTGTGTAAGTATTGCTGATGGAGCCACATTTGTGATTCAGGGTAAGTAGAAATCCTTGACATTGTGGCCACTGGATAAGTAAAAATCCTTGACATTGTAACCACTGGCCACAATCTGGTGGGCTTTGTTTCTTAAAACCTGTATTTTATGTTGTTAATAGCGGCCAACGTGGCCGCAAAAGTGGTGTGGTGCGGAAAAATTGGCCTGGCCGCTTCCAAGCGTACTGGCTTGGCGCAAAATGAGAAAGCGGGTGGCACGGCTGCGATCACGGGTCTGGTAGCGTGTCCGATGCGGTCAAAAGGGGCCGGTTTATTTGGTTTGGAGCAAAAACACCAAATTTGCAGCTCCTTGCTTTTAAAATATATGTATATTTATCATAGAACGTAAATAGACTGGAACATCAAATGATTCTTGAACTTTTTTTAGAGTTTTGATGTTTAGTTATTCTAAGATTTATATGCTTAGGTGTTAGTTTTCTTGAATTTTATTGCTATTTGGAAATACGTTGCAATGTTTTGCTTAAGGCTTGTGCTTTTTAATGGTATTTGGAATTGGAAGTGTGCTACTATGTATTTGAAAGTATTTTATTGCTAAAGACTTCATGAAGTTTGAGCTTTTTTTTTTTGTATTTGCTAGTATGTTTTCAGCATTTAAGATCCATTAAAATATTTATTTTTTAGTGTCCGCGTCGCTAAATAGCGCCTGCACCACTCTCATTTTGGGGTTGACCGTGCTTCACCACTTTCCGAGATTATTAGCATAGCCTGTATTTACACTATGCTTCTCTTAGTTTGTATTTCCTTAGTTGGATTACCACAAATCAGTTTCCAACCAGGGTACAATAAATTTGTTGATCTGTCTGTCAAAATGTTTTCTTATCCGGTTTTACCAATAAATTGGACACTGTCTCAGCTTCAAACTTGTTAAGCATGAAGATGGATGATGGTTAATACAATTGCTTGCTCGACAAGTCAGCTGAACTCTCCGTATTATCTTTAGCTTAGTTTAGCAATAACTAACTTTTATCTAGTTTTGATTAGTTGTTAAGAGTTAGTTAGTTGTTGTAACTAACTTTAGATAGTATATAACTTGGTGAGCTTAGTCATGGCAAGGTAGATTTGTTGTAAAACTCTTTCTTCATTATGCAATGCAAGCTAGTGTTCATATCTATGGTGTTCATATTCTAGATCTCACAAAACCAGTGGTAAATATACTCAATTTGACGGTAATCTAATTGAAAATTATGTTTTTCCTGATTGCTGAGCTAATGATTATTGAAGTTTTATTCTAGGAATGTTATTGTTTCAATATTTCAATTGAAAACATGAAAGAATGCGCTTCTTATTGTTTCTGTACTTGATTTAAAACTTTGTACAGGGGATAAGTAAAATAAAGATATGTGTATGTTTGGTTTGAGAAAATGTTTTTATGTTTGTAAATTTGTTTTCAATTAATTACAAGCAAATGTATCCCAACTAAATGGTTATTGGATGATATTTTTAACTCTTTGTAGAATTTACTTAATGCTCATTCTTTCTGTTACTAACTTTTTCATTATTTGGTTGTTGATATCTATTTTTTCCTTTTGATTGTTGGCAGGATCCTTGTTGATTTGGAGATATGGTTGGTTTAGGCAGAAGGATATTGACATCAAATAAGTTTCTTGTATTTTAATTGTTGTTAAATGTGCGCAAAACATGCTTGTACACTTTGGTTCTCGTGATTTGATGATTTCGTCTTGCACCTACCCATTTAGTTGGGATAGTTTCATTTATATGCAGAACATTGAAATCAATATTTTTCAAGACAAAAAGTATGCCCTTTGTTTCTTACTAAGGGGGTAAGTGGTTCATATATCCAAATTTCCACAATAAGAAAGAATCTAAAACACATGTCTTGTATTTTTAGGCTTTCCTTTGATTGAACCAATAAGCTAAGCAATGGAAGTTAGTCATTAATGGATGGCATACCCTGCAAAAACTGTAGAGTTAAAGGGCTTACCACTTTACCTAAATTTTTTTATCTATTAAAAAGATTTGCTGACAGCTTGGATTGTTTTCCATGGCAAAATATAATTATAACTAAATCATCTACTAAGACGTGGGAAGATAAAAGAGATTCAATATAATTGAACTACCAACATAGTATAAGACATTGAACTACGAACATAGTATAAGACATTGAACTACCAACATAGTACAAGACATAGGAGGATACAGGGATCCATGAGACGCTTTAATTAAACTATCAACATAGTATAGTTTTTCAATCCAATTGCAAAATATATCATTTAAGCCAATAGCTTTTAAGATTCTCAAAAGGTTAGACATATGCAAACTTTTATTTGGCTTCCTTGGAAGGGTCGTCTCACCTGATTTTTTTTATGACCAAATCGTCTCACCTGATTTTTTTTTGGACCAAATCGTCTCACCTGATTAGAAACAATAGTAGACATACTTTTTTTTAGTATTTCGTGTATGGAGTAGGTGGAACAAATTCATTAATTATTTTTATTCTGCTTAATCTGCCGTATTTTGGTGTTGGAGCAGCATTGTTGTACATGTACTCCATCTCAAAATATAAGAAAAAAATAAAAGCACACTTATTAAAAAAAGAAGTAAAAACATAATTATTTGGCTTATATTTTTTTTGAAATAAAGTGTTTAAAAGATGTAAAAACAATTATAATTGGTTGTTGGTTATAGAAATGATGAAAAAGAAGGTAAATTAAATATAATTTATATTTAATTTTATTTTGAAAGAGATGAAAAATAATTTTTTCTCTTATATTTTAGGACAAGAAAAATGTATTTTTTTCCTCTTACATATTGGGATGGAGAGAGTAATTTATACGGGGTTACTTTTCCCACCTTAACATGTGCTTCACACCATCGAAAACATTACAAATGTCTCTAGTGTTTGAAGATGCATCTTCGAACATACTTTTTTTTACACATCTCAAATGTAATTTTTTGTTAAAATTTAATTTGGAGATGCATCTTCGTATCTATACAAAGTTAATTCAAATATGCGTTTAATATTCAATGATTTTTTTGGAGATGCATATTCAAAATATGCTTTGTTAGTTCAAATTAGAAACGACCAAGGACAATGGCAATATAATGGAAAAACAACATAGATTAAGATCAAAATATTACATAGATAATAGTTAAACTTAACATAAATTTAATATTACATTTAATTATAAAGTGGTGGTTCAATGACTCCAAAATCCATGTAACAATGTCCTTTTTTTTCGGAATACAAAAATGTAAAATCGACTGAAAAAATTATTTATGTAGAAGTCACAAACAATTTCTAGGAGTGAAAGTCTATACTTGTTTCTTTTGTATGTTGAGTCAATTATGAGCAAGGTGAAAAATGTATTGAACAACTTGATGGAATCAGGACGACTCTAAAATATATCTCGAACGGTGACTTTATCCTCACAAATTCTATACCTAGAAACATAGTTGCCATCTTCTAAAAAATTCAACAATTATTTCATCTCAGATTTTGGTCCTCTTACCGCCTTATTGTTTTGAGCACACACGTTATATATTTGCTTGATAATTGACATTTAGAAATCCTTTCCATTTCAAATATGCGAGTATATTTTTTGGCGCCACCATGTTGAATGTCATGTTCGAAATAAGTTTCCTCTCCTCTAGAATAAGGCGACATATAATAGGATGACTGATTAGCTTGTCAGTCAAGGCAAGATTATGTATACTGGAAATCACATTAAATTTTCATGTCTTATCCGTCATACGGTATCCACGCAATTTAAACAGACACTCACATTTTCTCGATCCAGTGTCATCTCGTTTCAACTTCCTAATATGTGGTTGGTATGTGTCATTTGTTTTGCATTTCATTGTTACACTTATCTTCTATCTGAACCATTGTCAGACCTTCTGATTACAACACCAAACTTCAATTTTCTGGCTTCCATGCAAAGCCATTGTAGCATATATATTCACGCACAATAAACTCTTGTTTATTTGTAAAATTTGCAAGAACATATACTTCAACAACAATCGATCGAACACCCGGTTTAACATCATCATTCACTTCATCTGGCTTCACATCATGTTTCACGATTTAACATCTACACTCACAATAGTTTTGAGAAACATATTTGGGTGCACCATATGTAATACCACAAATAATATAAAAACAAATTTAAAATTTAAAGTATCAGGCAAATCCAAAAACGCATCTCTGAGCCACACTAAACTTCGGCCATATATATATATATATATATATATATATATATATATATATAAATATATATATATATATATATATATATATATATATATATATATATATTATATATATATATATATATATATATATATATATATTCAAATTCAACGTTCATTTTTTCAGTTTAAAAAACACATCAATGCAAAGAATGAAAGATAAAATGAATGGACTTTACCTGCAATTTCAACTTATTTTGCTCCCTTTAATGTAATGAAATACAAGAATGATATTTTGGTGTTGAAAAGTTGATTGAGAATGAAAGACACTTCTTTAAGGGTTTTGAAAATGAAGTCTAGTTTGGGCATGAAAAAGAAGATCATTTATTTAATTTCTTGCTTGACATTTTCATATATGCATTTTCAGAAATATCAATGAGTTATTAATTAAACAACCCAGTGAACAAAACCACCATAAATGAGTACATGGTGTATTTTAAAGATGCATCTTCAGATACACCTAAATAATATATGAAGATGAATCTTCAGACCATATTTTGTTCAAAATGAGGTGATCTCAGAATTGCAAGGACTAGTGTAATTTTGGGTACGTCCAGAGTTGCATCTCTAAACACATAAATAATATTTTCGGGTTTCCATAGGTGTGAGGCGTAACACTCTAAATTCCCCACGCAATAAATTATGAAATAATATGAGTATTTGATCACATAATACACATTTAGGATGTCACTCAACATCAATAACTTTTGTTCCATAACACTCAATTAAATTAAAACATTCAAGTGCACATGTCATCACATGCTCGCCTTCACTTAGAATATCATCATAGTGGAATTCATCAAATAAGCATGCTTTGCAGTTACTAAGTTTCCTAAAAATACTTTATTTGAAATTAAAGCAAATATGGCAAAAGCCTCCACAATCAACATAAATTAAAAACATCAAGGGTGTAGCATACAACTTTCAATTAACGAAACATAATGATAAAATAACATTTTTGTTCGTCCGTCCATTGTTACAGAATCAGAGCATTAAACTATTAGAAATGCAATAAAGTAATGAAAATAACTTCACGAGCTATTTCCCATTCACGACAGCAAACTTCACTCTTGAGTATCTGCAAGATGTTCATGATGGACAACATAAATCAAAAAGGGATGAGAAATATACTTTGATATAAAATGGTGTAAATAATACAACAAGTAGATAAAACACACAAAACATATCAAGCATCTGATACACAACAACAACATCACCATCTCACACCTTTTCAACCAAATCATATACATACACATGTGAATGCAGTGTGACTCACGACACTGACACAATGCATGTGGTAACAATCAACAAAGGTTCTTCATACGAACCGAGTTCACCCTTCTAGACCCCATACTCACCCTTCTAGGTTCACGAACCCACCCTTCTAGGTTCAAGATAAGCTACCAGTCCATCCTTCTAGACTTGTAACCCGCCTCTTTCAACAACAACGACACAAATGATGCATGGCATATAATTGGTGCAATAACAACAATAACGTTTATAATCCTTCTTCGAACTATGAACAACAAAGATTATGTACTTCTACATAATTATCCACAAAGTATCAATAATATGCATTTCATGCAATCATTAAATAACTCAAGTAATCACACACAATTTAATCAACTTCTTGTGCAAACATAATAATCAAAACCATCGATCAGATAATATTCGATAAACAACATCTCCAAACCATTAGCCAAATAGTAGCCAAGAACAGTACAACCTCAAAAATTAGAATCACTATTTAATTCAAAGCAACAGAGCGAAGAACGCTCTTCCTGGCAACATGACAGGTTACCCGTCACATGCGTGACGCTCATCAGCGACTTCAATGGCCATGACACCTTGGTTACCATGCTGATGGCACCCACCATCGACCTTCAGAATACATAACTCCATCTCAGGCACTCAAATGGATAAGAAAATAATATGGAATTATCATATTAGTATCAATCAACATATACCTAACAATTAACATGCATAATCATAAACTATTCACCACTTTTGACAAATTAATCATCATATTCATATCACCTTCATGAACACAACAACATCCAATAATTCATCAACAATAACACATAATCTTCATGGTAAAATTAGTGTATGAAATTCAATACAATCATAACAACTATATCATGTACAAGCATAGAATTAAAATTAATGAACATAATCAACCAATTCAAGACATTTCATAAATCATAATACAACTTAGAGAGGCACTACTACAAAAATGTATTTTACCTCAACTAAAAAATCGAGGTAACGAAGGGCGTCATGAAAAGTAACGATTTAACACCTCGATTTTTAAAACACAGAGGGGTAAATTTATTTGCGCATGAGTTTGAAATCCATCATCTACACTTTTATTATTTACAATACTAATGCCTCACGTATCTCAGTTTATCAATAAAACCGAGGGGTAAATTAG